GCCAGAGCAGCTCAGCTGGGGAAGGCCCCCACCCCCCACAATGCCCCCAGCAGGGTGCTGCCCTCCCTGCGCCCCACAGCCACCCTGAACTGCGACACTCCGCCCCCCCCACCAGCTGAGCTGCTTGCAGAGCTCCTCCAGCTCCCCGCCGGCTTCCTTCCCTCGGCGGCCGCCGGGCCGGGGTCCGGGGAGGAAGGCGCTATCTTCTCTGCAGAATTAACCCCCTCCCCCCAGAGGCAATGACCCTGGGGCAGCTCCTGGTCTCTCCCACTGCCCTGGGGCACAGCGAGAGCTCTTCTGCCTGGAATCAGCCTCTATTAAAACCAGGCAGAGCCCCAGTTGGTCGACTCCAAGGAGTCAGGCTGCCCCCCGGGGAAGAGGCGTAGATGGGGCTGCAGAGAAAGTCTCTCCCGCACAAACGGGAGGGGAATTGGCAGAGGGGAAGTGGCTGCCTGGACAGCTCAGAGCGGACAACCTCCCTGCAGGCTGTTTCGGGAGCCTGGCCTGCGTGCCAGCCCCTTGCGCAGGGTGTGAGCTTCACCCGGCTCAGACCAACCCTGCCTACACTTGCACACAGGCGGCAGGGCCAGCCGGCTGCCGCCCACCCACCTACTCTGCCCTGGAATGAGGTATCCCATAGCCCCGCTGTGGATGTAGCCCCAGCCTTCTGAATTAGCGCAGCCACCCGCCACAACATCAGCATGATGGGCTGGCCAGGGGCAGAGGTCTCCCCTCTGGGTCCCTAGTGTGGGGGCAGTGAAGTGAAGCCCATGGAGATGCATCTGTGGGATCCAGACATTGCGAAGCACTCAAAGGGCAAGCTTCGTGGACCACAGCTGAAAGGCAGCCTGGCATCCGCCTGGGACAGCGCCTCCTGCTGGGAAGGGTGGGTAAAACAGCAGCTCCCACTAGGAAAGGAGGCCATGGCAATAGACACCCTGAAAAAGCAACAAGAGGGTGGAGGGGAGGCGAGGGAGCAGGATTAAACTGAATTTTAAAGAGCCTGGTTTTCAAAATTCATTGTCTGATTGCAGGCAGCTGCAAAGTCATCGCACCCAAGCCCCGGGGTTCTCAAGGCCGTGCTAAAATGCACCTCTTAGCGAGGTAGGTTTGGAACGGCTCTTTCCAGAGTTTGCACAAAACAGCCTCCCTTCCGAGCCCCCTCGCAGGTCTTTAATAACCCAACAACGGCCTGCGCTGCAGTGCCTAGAAGCTAAACGGCCGGTCAAGCCTAGTTATTTTCTTCCATGCCGATCTGCCTGCGGTTAAGCACGCGCATAAATTCAGTCTGCCGGCGTGACTTTCCCCCGCTCTCTCATTAGCTTCTGGCCCTGTTGTTTTCAAGGGAGGCGTTAATCAGGCAGCTGGAGAGAGACATGCGGTTCCTGGACCTGATCTAGGTTACTTGTTAAAGCTGCTAGAGTGAGGAACTGGAAGAGGAGCTTGTTTTATTTTGTTTTTTTGCCCCTGCCACTTTCTTCAGTTTCACTGACTGCCCAGTTGCTTCTGCAGACCAGTGGGGGGGGGAGGGAATCCCAGGGCTGCGCTGAGTGGGAGTGGGAGCCCCTCCATGCATTTTACACCCCCCCAGCCCAAAGGTACAAGGCCAGCTGCTTTCACCACTAGGACCCTGGTTTGCAATTCAGGCAAGCTGCATTCAATTTCTGGATCTGAAACAGATATTCCAGGGAAGCCTGGCTTACATCAGTGATAGGCAACCTGCAGCCCATGGGGGCTGCTCATGTAGCCCACGAGACATTTTGTTTGCTGTCGCCCATGTGCCGGGTTGCCAGATTCTGCTGGCTTTCCCTCCACGTGGGCTTTTTACTACCATATTAGCGAAGTGTCTCACGCACAAAGCAAAGGCCCAGGAGGTGAGGGTTGTGTTGAGTGACGGAGAGCGGCTCCAATGCCCTGTGTGCAAACCACACACCCTTCAAATTCCAGGCACGCAAGCGCAGTGAGCAAAACCACCCTATCCCAGGAGACCGTTTTGGTTCTGACAATCTTGCGGGCCGCTGAGATGGAGGGCCGTTCATGCGCCTGCTCACTAGCCTAGCCGACCCAGCACTGACTTACGTCATGCAAATCTCTCTGGCCCTGATCCTCAAAGGCGGTTAGTTACACGATCCTTGTCGATTTCAGCCTTGTCCAATGTGGGGGTCTGTGCCTAGGCAAAATGAAGACAGTGCTTCTCCCCCACCTCGTACTTCCCTCCTGGGTGTAGAAACTGCAAGTTTGCCAGGCAGGGACTCACTCTCAGCTGACAGCTCTAGACACTACACACCCACCCCCACCCACCTCCACACCTCCCCCCATCACTTGGCTTCTTGGATAGATCTTCAAGGCACTTGCAGACATGACTCAGTTTGCTACTGGAAGTGTTTTCGTTAGCCGCCTTGAGGATTTCCTTCCACGGCTAGTCCCATTTTGCCCAGGAAAAATTAGAAATACGTAGAGGGCTGTGCCAGAAAGCTCCCCTCAATTGGACATCTCAGGCAGGCGGGGAACACCGCAATTCTTATTCTCCTCCAGGAAAGAGGCTGAAGGTTGTAGAGGCCCAGGGCACAAGAGAGCTGGGCTTTTGAAGGACATGGGAGAAATGAAGCTCTTTGATTGATCTTTGCTGACGCTGGAAAGAGGAGCTTCTCCCCTGGAGGGGCTTGGAAGACGGAGCCGCTGAAAACAAGCCCCGGGGGACCATGGCCAGGAAGGGAGAGTGTCACCAGCTCTCCCATGAATTGCTCTTAGTGAGCAAGAGCAGGAGATCCCGATTGTGGGGGGACAGGAGCCCACTTCACTAGGCACTGCCCAGACCCCTCCTCAGAGATCATGGCCCCAAAGATACTATGTTCTAGCCAGCCAGCACTGAAAAGGAAAATCTGCCCTCCTGCCCGATCCCCACTTGACAGACAGACCAGAAGGACAGATGAGCGGGCAGATTTTGCTCTGGCTCCCAGGGAGGTGGTTTTGCTGCAGGAGGAAAGCCGCCTCCCCGGGAGCTGGGCTAGCAGGCGCTGGGGGTCCCGCTGCCGGGAAGGCTTTGCTGTGCACTTCGCTGTACAAAGTTTATTTAAGCTTTATCCTGCAGAGCCGGCGGCATGTGACCGTGGCAATTTTCAGTGACACAGTTACCTATTTAACCGACTTTTGACATCCCTGCTCCTGAGTCCCAGCCCAGTACCTTAGTGACACAGCAGCCTCGCTCCAGGGCTCTTGTGCACAGGAGATCCTTAGGCGAAGGCCCCGGTAGCTAATAGGGCTGGACAGAGCCAGGCACGAGACAGCTGTTGAGAAAACAAACGTGCACACACACACACACACACACACACACGTTTCCACCAGACTTTAATGTCACACATTTTGCACGCCTGGCCTTTGAGTGCAGACAACGCTACTCGTGCGGTAACTGGCGGAACCCGCAGGCTGGGGCGAGTCCTGGCCCAGCGTCAGACATACCACTGCAGGCCGTACTTCTCGTTGTGCAGCTCGCTCATAGGCCGCAGATAATAGAGCTCGTCCGTGGTTGGAGGAACCCAGCGGTCTGTGTGCCATGGCAACTCCCCCACCTAGAGAGAGAGAGAGAGAGAGAGAGTTACAGACTGCAGCTCCGGGCAAGGGAGGTTACATTTAGTTTAATCAACTCATCGACCAGTTGTCGGAAAAATCCATCAACGGGTCGATAAGCAGAGGAGCTGCAGTGGGGTTAGCTCCTGACCCCGGGAGCTAACCCCGCTGCCGCTCTGCCTTTTACATGTATTAACAGCTGGCAGCTGATTGCCAGCTCGCCCTGGGTCCCCACCACCCCGGCTGCAATTCTGCTTTTTAAGTCTATTATGAGCTGGCAGGATCTTAATACATTTAAAAAGCAGGAATTGCCCCTTTGAATTCCACGACTCTCAGTTCCACTCTCCAAGATCTGAGGGTTGAGAGGCGTGAGAGCAGCAGGAACGAAAGCACTTCCACTTCCAAAGGGCAGGGAAGTCCTGGGATGGAATCTCCATCGCTGGAGGTTTTCAGGTCTCGGATTGACCTGGCTGGGGTTGGTCCTGCTTTGGACAGGGGGCTGGACTCGACCTCCTGAGGTCTTTTCCAACTAGGGATGTGAGCCACTAGGCAAATGCTTATCAGACAGCTGACACACTAGTCGACTAATCGCTTTCTCCCCTTGCTGCCTCTATCAGAAAGAGGCAGCAAGGAGAGGGCGCTTCAAAACAGCAGCGCCATGTGGAGCCCGGGGGCTCCCCAGATGACCCTGGGCTCCATGCGGTGCTGCTGCTTTGAAATGCTGCGGGGAGCACAGGAGCAGGCCGGATGTGGCCCGTGGGCCGTATTTTGCTCAGGCCTGAGTCAGAGAAAGAGGAAGACAAGCATACAGCAGAGCACACACTCATGGTGTTATCAGAATTGCTTTGCTCCTATTTATGGTCCTGATGCAAGATCTGTTCTGCAACTGCATTCCAGAAGCCTGGAAGCTAGAAATCTCAGTGATCGGAAATGTACCGGCTCCACGGCGTTAGCAACTCCACACAAGGACTGGGATCTCGTTCCACCCAGACAATTGTTCTGTTTTCCTGCATTACCCTGGCTTTGACGTGTGTATCAAACTGCTCTTGGCACCAGACCGTTGATGGGAGCACGACCTCTTGCTCAGCACTGAATGTCAAACCCCACACCCACGAAGAGACGCGTGTCGTACGAGAATCTTTGAGGATGGAGGATGAGAGAATGGGGTTTCCATACTGAACTTCAGTGGGTTCGTCCACCACCTTGGAGCGTCTTGACCCTTTTGAGGTACTCTGATGCCCTGGGAGCAAATGCAGATCTTCACTTCATCGGAAGGCACCTGAGATCCAGTCTCACATGAAGCATCAGGAAGGGAGCTGTTTGCAGGCTGCCTCGCATCATCCAGGTTAGACAAGACAGAGTAGAGAATCTCTGTTGACTCTCTATTTAACTCCCTGACGGGGGGGTTCCAAAGCGGATGAAGAGAGGCTGGTCTCAGTGGTGATGGATGGCAGAACGAGGACCAATGGTCTTAAGTTTCGGCAGGGGAGGTCTAGGCTGGATATTAGGAAAAACTCTTTCAGTAGGAGGGTGGGGAAGCGCTGGGATGGGTTCCCTAGGGACGGGGTGGAATCTCCATCCCTAGAGGTGTTTAAGTCCCGGCTTGGCAAAGCCCTGGCTGGGTTGGTTGAGTTGGGTTGGTCCTGCCTTGGCCAGGGGGCTGAACTTGATGACTCCTGAGGTCTCTACCAGCCCTGGGATTCTACGATTCTCTTTCAGGAGAGAAGTGAGCCTAGAGCCGTTCTGAAGTCTGTTCTTTGAACCGGGCTCAACAGAGATTTCTGCTGACTGCTAAGAAGGCCTCGGGATTGAAACAGGGCCGATGCCTTGGAGGTTACCAGATGGACCTCTAAAATCCACAGACTCCTGAGGCGACAGGGTGGCGAGGAATCCTGCCTCACCTGGGATGAAGAGGACTTTGCTGTCGGGGGTTCTGGGGTCAGTGCCGAGGTGGCAAGGCCGGCAATGGAGAGGTTTGTGGAGAACGTCTCTGACTCTGGAGCACTGGTGCAGGGAAGGAGATGGTCACAGAGCACGAACAGGAGGCCTGTGTGCATCTTGATGCCAAGAGGTGTCAGTTGCTACAAGGCAGATGGTTCCCTGCTCTGTCTCTTCTCCACAGGCTGCTGCTTTGGCAGCACTGGCTGCTCAGAGCTGGCACCAGATGGCACCTCATCTGTAACCCTCGAGGAATGTCTCCTTAGAGTGGGATTGACAGGGTGACCTTTCCCTGGCAGGGAAGAGAGGTTTCCTCCTCTGACGATCTGAAGGTGCTGCAACAGTCACCAGAGAGGAGGCAGACCTCCTGGAGCTAGCGAGTGCTTCGTTCGGAGAAGTTTCAGTCCAGCCTCCATCCTTCCAAGACAGGTCTTTAAATCCCTCAGTCCTTACACTTTGGCAGGCGGCGGGTGTCTCCGGGGCAGCTCAAAGACCCATTGTTACAGCAAAAAGCATCCTAGCAGGGTCCAAACCTGGGCCCTTCAGTATCACCGAGAGGGGTAACAGACCGAAAATGGGCTGCGGTAAGACTGGAGAGAGACATAAAACAAAACAAAGGAGACCCTAAGAGACTTGCTAGGCTGAGAAAGGCGGGAAGCGGAGAATCAGCAGATGTGCAATGAGCCGCAGGCGATCAGGAGGGAGCAGAGTGGGGGCAGGCCTGGGCCGTCCTGTCTGTCAGAGTTTGGAGGCAGAAGCTGCTGCCCTACACAGGCCCAAGGACATGGCTTTGCATTCTGCAGTGGGCAGCACATGGGCGCGCACACATCCTACTGGGGAGGACTCCCAGGGATGCACGTCAAAGAGGAATTTGCCACTGCTGGCCGCACTAGGAACCAAGAGGATTTCAGTTTGAGCTCCCCGATGGAATCTCAGCAGGTACCTCGCAAACGGCAGTGACCCTCACAAGCGGAGACCCTGCATGTGTTGCAAACACCCCGCTAGCACATTAATGTCCATGTGTCCTCTAGATCCACTTTTCCTCTAATTGCATTTGCTCCTGTCCTATGGACCAGGACTCCAGGCTGACTAGGCTCAAGTGTTGATTCCACTTTGCTCAGCATCAGCTGTGCATGCTCCCATTCACACCCTGCCCTTGGAAGGAAACCTGGCACAAACGCCTTCCTTCAGAGAGGTGTCACCTGGGCCTGCTGAGCAATTATTCATTTCTACCCCAGTTACAAACAGCCTTTGGGAGACTCATTACAAGCCACCAATTCGTGCACTATGATCTGGTGTCAGTGACTTCCACCAGCTTTCCTGCCATCCCACCCTCCGCCCCCAGACTGCCCTTTGTTACCAGCATGGCCAGGCACAAACCTTCCATCCAGGAACATCTTTCATGATTTTGGCTTCCTCTTCGAGGTTCTCCCGTAATAGCCGCAGGGTCCTTAAACGGAAAGAAAAGCCTGTGTCGTTCAGTACTTTCTGATCCAGACAATCTCGTCTGCACCATGCAGGGGTCAGATAAAATAGCCTTTACACCCTCAGCTGGCCCTCGAGTTTGATTCAGAGGCTATTGGGCTGTGACGGGCCACGTTTTAAGGAGGCACGGTAGGCCATTCCATCTGAAGTACTCGCACCCTCAGGGAAGTTAGCACTGGCAACTGGGAGAGATTTAACCAAGGTCTCTGCAGATAACTGGGTGCACCTCGCATTGGGCACAGAACCCTGGCACCGCAGGCCTGGGTGCCACAAAGAGGCACTGCTTTTGCAGCCAGAGACTTTACTCCACAAGCGTCTGTAGCAATCTGAGGTCTCGCAAAGCAAGAGACCTGCCAACAGCCTTTGAGGAGACAAAGCAGAGCCTCGTCTCAGTTAACAGAGACTCCTTCGGTGCAGGAGCGTTTCAAACTTTTTTTCTCCTCACCCAGTTGAAGAAAATCGTTGATGCCGTGACCCAACATAACTTGATTTGAGGGTGAGCTCGGGGTGGAGCTGAGGATGGGAGCTCTGGGGCGTAGGAGGGGGCTCCAGCCCTGGGGGAAGAGGAGGTCAGGGCTGGGGCAAGAGAGCAGCAGCTCCTGCTCAGCAGTGCAGTGGGGGGGGGGACCCTAAGGCAACTTCCCGCCCCTCCCGGCACCGCAGACCATGCTGCGCC